GTGGAGTCACCATCTGGGATGGGTGGTACCAGCTGCTATGCTCATAAGAAATACAGGGTTAGGGTTTGCCTCTTTGCCTGGATGGGCCTTTGGGGTGGGCTTTCACCTTGCATGAAATGCTGCTAAACGCCCCGGTAGGGGCAACTTAGCCCCTGCCCTTTGCCAAATTTGCTGTGGCAGTTGTGTCCCTCCCTGGGTGAGGCCCCAAGGCAGAGTGTGAGGCTCATCCTGGAATTTGACCATCTAGGTATTCAAGCCAGGTAGCATGTCCATCGATTTCTGCGACTGACCAGCTCAGCATTTCAGGTGGGCTGCACTACTAGCTCCTACCTCTGATCGGGCACCGCTGCTGGCAGGGGCACAGAGCTACCTCCAAGACCTGCCTGCTGCTCACCATGGGCTCTGCCTCCTTGCTCTGTTTCTACCTGACTCCAGGTGTCATTCAGCACCATTTCCCGCTGCGGTCCCCTTAAGGTGAGATGAGGGTGAGCTTCCTGGGAAGTGTCTTAAAATGCTGGGGCCGCTGCACGACCTCCTCCAGAGCTCCTTCCTCTGTAGAAACTTCGGTTCCGGAAAACCTCTCTGTGTCGTGCTGTGCTGGCTTGGGGGGGGGAGAGCTGACTACGTCCAGGTGAGACCCTCTCTCTTATGTTTCCATGCAGTATGTTTTCCCATTCTTCAGACCATGCAGATCCAGAGACTCAACCCCAAATTTGGCATTTTTAACCATGCTGTTCTATTCTATGGATAGTTGCTAGTTGAACTTCCTGTTGGAAGTAGAGAAGCCTGAGACATCTCATTCTGCCATCTTACTGATGTCTCTTAAAAGGAACCATGTGTAGACATTGTGATTGGTCTATCCACTGTTGATTCTGAAATATAAGCAGGTGACTACCTGTCCATGTATGTGTAACTGCCATCAATCCGTATTTACCTGTCAATTCTCTAACATCTATCTATATGTCTATCTATGCGTGTATCTATCTGCCAATCGTCTACCCATGAAACAACTGCTGTTAGACATTGGACCCCAGTAGTAGAGAACTATGACCCCTAAGATAATGGAAACTAGCAAGGCGGGCCTTTCTTTAAGGAGGCACTTTTCAGGTGGTGGAGTCAAATAAAAACACAGGCAGAACACAGCAGTCTCGCTAAAGTGACATGAGAAAAAATTAGATTCCAGGAAAGCTGAGGTATTTGAAATTTGGATGTCAAAACACTAGAGACAAAGGAGCCACCCAGATCTGCGTGGGTTGCCCTTCAGTGTTTAGCCGAATATCGACCTACAACCCGTGCGTCAGCTGGGAGCTGCTGGGCCAGTGGCAACCGCTGGGAAGCCAGGAGGCGAACGCAGGAACCACGGGCTGGGCTCTGAGACACTGAGCCCTGAACAGCCCACGTGCAACGTCCTAAACACGGCTGCCGGCGACATTTCTGTGACTTTCCTGCCTGACACCAGACTCTCACCCACGGGAGCTGCGCCACTCTGCCTCTGCACCGCAGTGATTGCAGGTGCCTGTTTCCACGGCCCGAGCGAGCAGAGCTGGGCGTCAGACTGTTGGATGTCTGCCAATCCGATAGCGAGAGGAGACACCCACTGCAGTTTTGATTTATGTTTCTCTAATTATGAGGGAAATTAATGCTTTTCATATGATTAAGCTCTACCTGCGTGTTTTGCTGTGATCTGTCTATTCCTGTCTAGCCTATTTTCCCATGGGGGATTTTTGCTATGGTATTGGGGATATTAGCTTTTTGTCACAATAGAGTTGCAAATGTTTTTCCAAGTTTGTCGTTTCTCTTTTATTCTGCATATACATTATATATATATCTATATATATTATGTATAAGAAATGGGTTTTTTTGAAAATTTTTAATGTCATCAAAAATATCAGTTATCTATTTTCACTTTTTAAAGAATCGACCCATGTTTTGTTTTTACTATTCTTATGGTTTCGTATTATTTTAAATCTCTGAATGATGAATTTAGAAGTTATGCCATTGTATGTTGAGAAAAATCGATCCAGCTTTGCCTTTTCATCTGGCTGGCTATCCCTTTATTCTAATGCCACTTATTTAAAAGCCCGATTTAAAATGCCACCTTTATCACATGGTGAGTAACCTCTTTCCACCGTGCCCATTTCTGGACATTCCGTTCTGTTCCAGACATGGGCAATGACCACTCTGCCTTCAGTTACAGAGTTTCTGTCGTGCGCTGACTACACAGTCAGCTGTCACTTAGGGACGGGGGCAGTCTGAGACGTGCACCACGAGGAGATTGCACTGTGTGAGCCATGCAGAGTGCTCTTACACGCGTGGGCGGTACAGCCCGTGGCCTGTCGCTCCTGGGCTGCAGGCCGGCACGGCGTGGGGCGTGGCACTGTACTGAACACCACCGGCAGCTGCAACAGGATGGTAGGTACTTGTGTACCTGAACCTATCTAAACATACAAAGGTACAGAAAACATATAGTATTCTGATCTAATGGGACCACGGTCATACATGTGGTCTGTTGTTGATCAAAAAGTCCCTATGCAGCACAGGGCCGCATTTTAATACTCTTGCCCTTCTAGCATCAGAGTGCAAATTACATTAAATTTGCAAATTAACTCGCGGAGAACCGGTATTTATGATGTTGAGACTTGCCGTCCCAGAATATGACATGTTTTTTTAATTGTTTTCTTTGTTTTTCAGTACATTTCTTTACTGTCAATTTTCAATATAGAAGATAGAATGATCGTTTTAAATATAAACCAAATCCTGTCATTTCTCTGCGCAAAACCTTGCATTAATAATAATGCTCCATCTGACTGAGCAAAGCCAAACCCTCCCGATGGCTCTGCATCCCCGTGTAACCCACTCAGTTCCCGGGCGACTTCTCTGCCTTCGTTTCTCCGCCCCCCATCCCTCGACGCTCCCCAGCCCTCCCCTCAGGGCCTCGTGCTTGTGATCCCCACAGCTTAGAATAATGCTCCCCCACCCCAGATATTTACTCACCTGTTATAAACCTTTGCTAGATGCCGTCTTTTCAGGGAGGATTTGGGTGATGATCTAGTTACAGTGAGAGACCCGCTGTGCCCCACGCACCCTATGCCCCCTTGCTTTGCTGCTGCAGAACTCTTACCTCCGGATTAACTCGTGTCCCAATTCCCATAGCTACTGTCTCTCCCTGGCCACCCCTGTAGGACGGGAAGCTGGACCCATTAGCGATTTGTGCGGAATCGCGTTTGTTCTCGATGACGACCCTCCAATCCCCTGAATACTTCCTCATGCACAGACGGTGCTCAACAAGTATTTGTCACACAATTAAGCGAATGTTTGACAGTGAAAACAACTCCTCTTTCTGTAATTAATCCGTCTCTGAAAGTGTGTTGGCATCACAGCGTGCCCCGGGGGAGCATGACTCACCGATCTGAAGGGTGCAGGGCCAGGGCCCCCCTCGCAGGTGGCTTCTGTTTCCCCTCTTAGCCTCCTTGCCTTTCCCTCTCCCTGGCCTGAGAACAGATATTTATTGCAGGTTTAGAGGAGATTAGCATTTCCAAGTTGTTACATGGAGAATTCCCTGCCCTTTTGTCCTGGGCCAGTTTGCCACTGAGAAATGTCACAGTTTAATCTGATAAATGGCAACACATTCTGCAAGTAAATCCAGACCCAGCCATAATAGGCAGAGCTTAAAGGTGAATTAAAACTGTTTTACCCTGAAGAAAGGCAACTTCAGTCTGCCTGGTTTCATTTCTTTAGTACCATGAGAAGCATGTGTGCACCTCCTCTGCAACACTCACGATTGCACAGGTACGCAAGCTCACATGTGCACATGCATGTGCACACACACACAGTCCCCTCATGCCAGCCTAAACATCCTTAGACGTGGGCACTTTCCCTGCATGGGCTCATCCTGAGGTTATTTCCTCTTTCCTCATTTCCCTCGACTTGGAGACCCCATTGCCTTCCCCGGGGAGAACGCTGGGAACCGATTGCGATTTCGTTCCTAAATCCAGGAAGTCTGTTCTCTTGGTCCCAGAGCCCAGAGCCACATGGTGCAGAGGCAATCAGCACCTAATAAATACTAATGAGTATTGTTGAAGGTGAAAGTATTATTGCAGGTGAAACCTACAACTCTTCAATGCATACAATAACAAAATACAGCGTTATAACATTAAATATAAGCAAGCACTGCAAATAAACAAGGGGGCATTTCCCAGGCTCGGGGTCCTCTGGCACTAGCAGCTGCTTTCCCTGAGCCCTCCTGGTGGCCACAGCTTCCTTCCAGTCCTGCGGGTCTCAGGGGAACGTCCCCAAGGAGTCCGGCAGACACCTGGCCGCAGGTGCCTTTCCTGTTAGTCTGTGGCCACATAACTTTGTGGGATTTTAATTTCTTTTCTATCCCTCGTCAAGTATCCAAAAGTTGAGATGACATCTAAGCAGCTAAATTAAACTTAGCTGTGTGGGTTCATCATGAGCTTCTTAATAGCGTTGAAAAAAACTGCAGTGATAGTATTTTAACCAGAGCCAAATTTTGAGTCACTTTTAGTCAATCTGGACAGAAAACCAAGTCTGAAAAAAAAAAAAATAATTAGCATCTTATTTGAGGAACTCGCCCCAGTTTAACTACTTATTTAGAATGTTAGACATTTGAAATATTATTAGAGTTTGTGCTGTTAAAATTTTACTTCCAGAACACAAGCAACCTGCCAATTTTATAGGCACCCTTAGCTAAACAAGAAATAAAATGACAAAACACACTTAATAAAAAAGTGCTGATTTATAAAAAGTATTGATTTTCTTAAAGAATATAAAAACTATGAAATTTAAGAGGCCAGTTTGTTGTGATGTTTCCATTGTGTGTGTGTGCGGTAATTGAAAATAAGTGAGAAATGTGGGCATCCGTTTAAGTCATTTGCCACAAACTGGGTTGGTTAAATGATCACTTGATTCACTTCAAAGCCCCAGCCCCTGTCTTCATAACAAAAACCAGAGGGAGAAATTCACACAGGAAACTGTATACTTTCCTCATCATAAATTTTTATGATGGCGTATAAAGGACTACAAAGTACAATATGCTTGACCTCTAAATAATCTGCGTCTCCCCGACAGCCCGAGTTTCACGTGAGTTACCCCAGAAGACGGTTTCCCGGGGCCCAGACCGTCCGTCCTCTGCACGTTTTCCAACGGTTTATCCGACTCCTCCCCTGCGGGCGGGCCCCTGGAGATGGCGGGCTGCCTGTTGTGGGCTCTTTGAGCCCCTTAGGAAGAGGGATCTCATCGACTGCCTTGTGCAGAGCCCGCGCCGCCCCGTTGCCTGTTGCCAGTCGCGCGGCAAGTCTGGCTGCAGAGCCCCACGTCTGCGTGGCAGGACGGCGTGAGTCGGTCATACCAGAAAACTGCAGGGCTGTTGTCACGACCCTCACGCTTGATGATGTGATGTATTCACCTGTGTTTCCTGACGTTTCCTGATATCAAAAAAAAAAAAAAGGATGCCACTGTTTCCAGCTCCAACCCACTCTCTAAACTAAAACAAAAATTTCTAATCATTTACCAGCACTGTTGGGAATGGCTTTGCATAGGAGATGGACGTCTAAGGGTGACTGTTCAACCTGCAGTCAAATCACAAGCTGGACATCGCTAGAAACAATATATTTAAGGTCACTGCGTCTTCCCTTCTCTTTTATGAAACAAATACTGGTCACCTCAAAGCTATGGAACTGTCACAGAGCTAAGATTCTCCGGTGAGATAGAGTCGCCCAGAAAAGAAGGCAGTAGGCGATAGCTTGGCAGCGCTCTTCTTAATACCTATTACGCTAAAACAAGAATGCGCTGGAATTTGTCATTGACGATAGCAAGGTGCGTGGGGCAGACACGCTGTTTGGGGGAGGGCTGCCCTGGCTCCTCTCCGTCTCAGCCCCGAGCCCTGATGTCCGGGCAGGGTGCGGGCGCCGGGGCAGCAGACAGAGCGCAGCGGCTCCTCGCAGGCAGGGGAGGCTGTGCAGGAGGAGCTTCGTGGGAAGAAAGGGACCCATGTCCCACCTCTCTCCCTCCCTGCTTGTGGAGTTCGGGATTTTAGAGCCGTGCTGGAAGGCTGTGAGTATGAGAGGGGCCTGTGCTGCAGAAAGGGCCCCTCCAACACCCAGGGGTGTCGCAGGGCCTCACTCGGAAGGAAAAGCTTCGTGCAGACCAGCAGGGCAAAGAGGCATCTCGAGGCCTGGAGCCGTCACTGTCCCTACAGCGACAGGCAGACCCGTGCAAAGCCCCCAGAGTGCGAGAAGGCAGCCCAGCGTCCACTGGCGCTTGTCGGGCAGCCCTGCGTGAAGCAAGCCACACAGAGCCGCAGCCAGAGCTGCATTTTCAGAAGACTTTGCACGTAAAAAGTAGCTGTTGCGTACTGTGGGACCTGAGAGACTGCTGTCCCTGGGCAGTCGGGATGTCCCTTCAACACGAAGAAGAACCACGGTGTGGGTGAAGGGTGGCCGAGAAACTGGAGGTGCCCAGGCAGGGAATGCAGAGCAAGGCAGCGAGAGAGAGCTCCCTCGGAACTAGAACGGAAATGCTCCTGTTCCCCTGAGTAGCTCTTGGCTGAGGGCTTTACCAGTTTCTCAGGTAAAAGATGCTTGCAATTGGTCTCGCTGCTTCACTGCGTCAGGAAAGGCCCTGGGTTAGCAGGTGATTTGCTGAGCGGACATCACTCTTCTGGTGCTGGTTTGGGTCGAATCTGTGATGAGCTGTATTGTACTAAGTCATTCCTTCTGCACATGGGCCTCGGCAGTCTAAATGTGCTTTATTATTGTTGGCATGAGGTCTCAGTTTACAAACCTGCTCGAGTTGCCCAAGCGGTTATCCACATGCGGGGAGACAGCAGGCCTGAGTCTCCACATCCACCCGCCGACAGGAAAGGGAAGAGCTAAAGCCAACCGAAATTAGCAGTAGCGATGGACACCTTACGTAGGGGTGTGTCTAAAGTATTCCCACATTAGGGGCACGGTGGCTCCTGCTATGAGGAAGCACCTCACTCAGGTGGACCACAGAGACATCAGAGTGAAGTTTATGGGCCGAAACAAACCCCTGACAATCATGTCTATGAGGACTTGGCTCCTAATGCATCATACACGTGTGTGCACACACACACAGGTACACACACTCACAGATACATACACTTGCATGCACAAAGACACACTCACACATAGACACAGACACATGAAAACACAGGCTCACTTACAATATTTTCTAAAATAATAAAATCATGTCATTACTGGAGACAACGCCTTACGCAGTAGACTTGCAGCGTTCTACAGGGATACAGCTGTAGCCCTTGTCCTCTCTGAATTACAGACCTCACTGATACAGTAACTCGGGGGCTGATGCCCTGTGTGTGCTTTAAGCACGGTGTAGGAGCTTTGCCGTGTGACCTCATTTGAGATTGCAACAATCTTACGTCTTGGTGACCATCGTCTGCTTTTCCAATGGCATGCCACAGATTGGGGACCACACCACACACGGAACTACAGATGCCAGCTCTGCAAATGCCAATGATCTATAAAAATATATACTCCAGAGGAGGCAGATATTAGAGAAACGCAAAGACGAGTGCATCAACCTTGTGACATTTCTGTGACACAATAAACACAAGGCATCGCTGTGCATAGGAAAGCGCTTAAAATCAGAAAGCACAACGTCCTCCCTTTGTGACCGGACTCGGGCCTTTCCTGAAGCCCCGTGCCGGGTTTTGTGCACTGGAGCACGAGCAATGATTAATGAGTTGGCAATAATTCTAGAAGGTTATAGCAACTGCCTGCATTTACTTTAGTGATGAGCTGGTTGACAGCCAACCGGAGAGAGACACTCAGGAAAACGTGAGTGTCACTCTGGGGGGACAGCTGCCCTCTGTCTCCCGCGGCAGGAATGAGACGTGAGGGAAGTGAGCGAAACCGCATCATAAGGTAGTAATTTGGGGTGTAAAGCGCTTCCTGGGGCTGGAAGGGGTTACCAGGGAAAGAGACGGAATCTCTCCTCTCCTCAAGGCCTCTAAAAATAAGCTCCGTCCGACTTTGTTAAGATCAGGGTGTTCTTGGGAGCCCAGCCGGGACCTGGCCCACGGCTCGTCCCACCTGTGGGTGCCTATTTGGACCCTCAGTGGCGGTTTCCCCCTTCCTCCCTCCATCTGCACCTGCCCCTTCCCTCCCTTTGCTCTTCACTTTTTAATTTACAAAGACTAATATTTGTTCATTTGGCGAATGGTTCTAAGAGTTTTCACAAATACATACCATCATACAATCACCCTCACAAGCAAAGTATGGAAGAATTCTTCCAATTTCACATTCTTTTTTTTTTTTTTTTTCACCAATACTACTTTCCTTTCTCTCTGTACACACATGGTAAGACTTGGGGTCTGTGAGAGATCAGCCCAAACTGCTCTCGGCAGCCTCGTTTCTTCTGTGGCAACATACAGAGGGAAGAGAGAGATTTCCTTCCTCTCATCCTCTTCGGGTGACCATGGCTTAGAGTGATGTGGGCGCATCTGCTAATCCTGTGCTCTGTGACCGAAATCAGCGAACTGAACTGAACCGCTGGGCAGGAATGTGGACAGAAAGTGAAAAGGGAAATTGAGAGCCGCCTTTCAAACGGAGTGAATTTAGACCAGACTTTCCCAGGACTGCAGGGCAGAGGTGCCCGTGCCCACCAGAGCAGCCTGTCATCTAGAGATCACTCCCGGAGGGAGCCCACCGGCCCCTCGGCGTGCTTCCTCTGGCCTGACCCGCCCGTGTGGCCTCAACCCCAGGCCCACGCTGGGAGCGTTCTGGGTTAGGCGTGCCGGTGCGTTTCAGCGCAGCCTCGCGGCTGTTCGGCTGTGCTTCCTGGAGCTGTGCAGAGGTGGATTTGCGCACGGAAGATGCTGAGACACCCTCCTCCCCGCCCCGCGTGGGTCTGTGTGTCTTCCCAGCTGCTGGAAGGAGGACTCTGGTGTCAGGTGAGCCGCGGGGGCGGGAGCCCCGGATCAGGTTGTAGATTCCTTCAGGGCTTGGATGCGGAGTGAAAGGGAATCCTCCCCTGGGGGCCGGGGGAGCCCATGTTTGCTAGGACCCCCGCTCGGCCAGATGAATAGGGAACCTGAGAAGGGAGGGAGGAAGGATTAGCTCTGGACGGAGTCAATGTTGATCTTTCCTCACCTGCTTTTAACAAGTCCTCGCCTTGCTGAAATATTTTTTTATTAAATTTTAATCAAAAGCACAAAAACAGATTGTTTATCGTAGGAAAGACTAACCTTATTGTAGGCTCTCCTTGCCCGGCAGGTCTTACAGATGTTAGCGACTCGACGACAGATAAGCGTGTCATCCCCGAGGGCGCGGCAGGCGCCCGCCAGCTTCCCCGGGACGCGGGCAGAGGGTGAGTCGGTTCTGCTGCTTGGATGACGTCGTCCCCTCAACATGCATGCACTACCCAACCCTGCGTGTTTGACGGATGTTGGTGACTACATTTTTAAATTGTCTATTCGTATCTTTGGTCTTCTCTGGGTGGTCTCATAGGCTCGATTTGAAATCTTTAGGGTGATTCAAATTGAACAATGAGCATGATGCACTTCTGGCCCCTGGCGATATCATAATGACCTCAGGCCAGAACAGGAGGCCTTCTCAGCACGCTTTTCTGTGGTGTAGGCTCAAGTCTTTCTGGTCTCCTGGGCCACTGAAGGAGGCGCATTTATCCACAGTGCCAGGATACTCTAAACCGTGGCTCTTGAACTGCGGTGGTGCCCAGACCGGTGGCATGGGCATCTCTGGGACGTGCATGCGAGTTCTTCTCCCTGCCCAGCTCTGCCAAACTGGAAACCCTGGGAATAGATGGGGTGCAGCAAGCTCTCTGGGGGCCACAGATGCACACATGTGAAAATGTGACAACCAGCATGTGCATAATTGTTCAATAAAAAGCATGTTAAATACCAGACGAGCTTCCCTCTTATCCATTGGCATCTAAGACGCCGAAAGACATACCTCATGGATTTAAACATGTGCCTTTTACAGGAGCAAGTGACACTGACCACTCATTAGAATAGCAATAAAGGACTACGGCTTTCACTCAGGCTTCCTGTGTTTGGTGACTGTCAGCGACTCTACAGGGCAGCACTGGGCCCAGCACCCCTGTCGGCAGCTGTCTCAGGACGCGGAGGCCGGTAGGTGGGAAGCAGGTGCCTGGGAGCTGCACACACAGCTAGTCCTAACCTCAGAGCTGATTTTTGGTTTGTTTCAGACTAAAGAGGGTCTGTGGTTCCACTACACCCTGTGCCCAGCCTAGCTCAAGATGAAATGTACATATTTTTTTTATAAACTTTATAAGTTTGCGAGACAGATATGGATAACCGTATTATACAGAAAAACAAAAATCCTATCTCAGTGAAATTAAGTAGCTTTCCCAAAAACACACAGCTGGGAGGTGTTAATTCTGGACTCAAACCACATCAGTCTGACTCCAGGTTCAACCTGCTGCCTCTAGTATCTCTGAGTCAACTCTCCGCTTCCCAGGGACCTCGCACGTAACGCCGACACGTCCGGCGGGGCGTGTGAAGTTCCGCCGCAGAACCCACCACTCGCAAACACTGGCTCAGAATGTTTCCGGAGCTGATGCACCATTTGAAAAGCAAAGACACATCAAGGCAGATGTTTAGATTCTAAAGAGTTCACTTTGGAAGTAAGCAGGGCCAGATATGATACCATGAATTTGAAAGCTTATTTTTTTTTTTTGTCTCCAAAATTTAGTTGTAAAATCAGTCAAATTCCCTAATATTATGCTAGGAATTCTTTAAGGTGGAAAGAAAAAAAAATTTTTTTATAAATCTTTTCATTGTGATCTTATTTTTCTGA